ACCTCTCCCTCCTTTACCCCTTACCCCCTTTTCTCCCATTCAATCCACCTGATTAATTGCTAAAAATTAGATACGTAAGGAAGGACTGTTGGATTACATTCTCTTTTTTCTTCTGGATTTGTTATAGAAAATGTGTCAGTCACTTGTGGTTCAAATTTACAATTTTATTAGATAGTATTACATAGGAAATTTACAATTCAGACTTACTCAATTCCAGCAACTAAAATCTAGAAACTGTATCTTGAAACGATAGCATGCAGAAAATGTAATTCTGTGCTTTTCCAGTCATTCTCTTCAGGCCCACCAATTTAATTTTCCATTTGATAACTGGAGCCACAAAGCTTGTTTTCGGTCTAAAGGGTCACCTGTTGGAAGTATTCAAAAGAACATTCAAGCTCCCTCGTACTTCCACATGAATAAACAATTGCCCACTGCATGTGTGCTAATTAAGTATATCATCATGAAAAATATCGTTCTCCATGTCCAGCTAGTCTTTCTGACGTGCGTGAAATAAACCAACAACAGAACAGACACATTCAGGATGGAAGAGATTTATTAGTCCAAGCCTGCCACTGCAGGATTTCCTTTATCATCTGGTTACTGCATTTTTAGAAAACATCTCCTGAAATGAGGCTTCCATTATTTCTCCGAGGAGACTTCCAGATTATTACAGAACTAAAGACATTCTTTTCTCACATTTATCCTACATTTTCCCATTTATTTTCATACTACTACCCCAACTAACCAACCTTCACATCGTGAGATCTATTTCCTCTCTGTAACGTTTAAAACAAAACTAAGCCTAGCTTCTCCACATACAAATCACTCACTGGGCAGGTGATGTGAATGCTCCTTTTCTTTTATTGATCTTTGGACTGTTCCAAACACTGTGCCACTGCATAATCTCCTGGTGTACTTAAATAGCACATGCAACCCTCATTGCCCTTTTCGTAAAAATCACATTGTTTACTCTGAATATGTACAGAGACAGTCAAAAAGGATGAGTAGAGGTATGGAGCAATTAGCCTGTCCTCCAAATAAGGCAGCACTACTAGAGAGGGACAGTTGGGAAAATGGGTATTAGAGATGAGATATTAGACATGAAAGAGATCTAGAAAATTGTTAATAGAGAAGCTGAAAAGGGAACAGTTATTTTCTTACTATACAAGGAAAACCTTATCCAACTGACTTAAAACTGAAGGCTTAAACACAGCAAGAACATATGTTTTTCACACAAGACAAGTTATGGCATTCATCACCATAAAATCTTACAGAGACTGAAAATATAAATAAGTCAGAAAAAAGACAAATTAACAGGTGACAGGTCACTGATTCCTATTATACATAGTTTTGCTTACAAGATGTATCTTAAGCCTTAGGAAGTCAACAGTTAATTGGCAGAAGCTGAAAGGTATACCCAGTAACGCAGCTCTTTATGCAGTTTCTTATACTTTTCCTTAGGAATCTGCCATTAGCCACTGTCAGAGAAAGAATACTAAGGCAGATAAACCTGATCTGATCTACTATGGCTGTTCGATGAGGAACACATGGAAAAGATGAGTTAACCTTGTTGACTGGGGAATAGCATGGACACTATCAGAAAGCATTAGGTTCAGTGTGCAGCTCCAGCCAGTTGTTTTTTTTTCTAATTAAAACAAATTAAAACACGGTAATTTTAAGAGAGGAGATGCTACAAAGATGTAGTTTGGCCAAAATGGCACAAAGACAATGATGAAATATTAGAGTGAGATTAAATAGACAGGATCACTATGATGCAAGCACTAACAAAGATGTAGTAACAAATAGTCTACAACAGATGACATATACCATATTTAGTTAACTAACATATGTTTTAGCTAAGGGGAAAAAAAAGAAGTATGAAAGAGGCTTTTCTGACATGCTCCCCGATGCATCTTACCTTGCCTTATACAAACCTACTCCCTCCAAAATACTGAACGGGTACAAAAACCTTTGCTAGAGGAGGCGTTAAATCTTAAGCTGTTAACGTAAAGTATACCACGAAGACCCAAATTCCTCAAGGCGAGGTATACAACTCACTTTTGAGAAATCATTTCTCCACACATGCACAATAATGAGGACGAGGATGGTCACAGCCAAATTGGTCCTGATTCTGTAACTGACTGACAGGTACGTATCACACGTGTAAAATGCTTATTAGTTGGTAGGACTCAGAAAAGAACAACAATCTTTTCAACAAGAACCAGTATTCTGAGTAAAGCCAATAGTCCAATCTTGGCTTTTCAGAGCTTAGATACAAATATGTTATAAAAACATACATGTTTTTATATGTACATGTACCCCAATAACAAAAAAAGGCTTGAGCCTTATGTCGCCTTTTCCTGGTTATGCAGAGAAAGGGAAGCAGTCGTGGAAAATGGTACAATTTGTGTTATTTGAGGGCATGACTATGCCTTAATATTTTTCCAAGTACCAAGAAAAGCTGTTCTGAATGAAACTTAAATAGGCTGATAGTATACCATCAGGTCCTTCATTTTAATCATTAGTGATAATCTCCTGCTAATGCAAAATGACATTTTTTCTGAAAGCAGCATTACAGAAACAAAATAAATCAGAGGCAGTCTGAATGTAGGATCAAGCAGTGACAGACACTAAGTTGTTGAATGCTTCCAACTACTGTGAAGACAAGAATTTCTATTATTTATTAGTCTTTCAAACTTCAGCTGAAACATTTTTTCCCTAAATTATGACCTCATTCCAGCCCATGCTTGTAACACCATTTTGGATCTTCTTTAGACTCTACAATTCTGTCTCTACTGCCCTTTGGTTGACAAAAAAAAAAAAAAAAAACCAAAAACAAAAAAAAACGAACAAAAAAAACCCCAACCAAAACCAAAACCTTAAACACTAACACCCTAAAAGAAGGTGCAAGAGAAGGGGAGAAGAAGAAGAAGAAAAGGAAAGGTGCAGGAGCAGCCTTAAGCCTGAGGTCAAAACTGAACTTTTTTCTGAGCTTCCCAACTCCTGCTGAGTTACCGATGCTGACAAATGGGAGGTTTTGAATTACTGACTGCTTTTAGAGTGCCACTTCAATCACACCACACTGAAAATATTTTATAAATATGACATCCCATAAAAGTTAGTAGAACGTTATATGTTAAATCAGAATAATCCAGAAGGACCGGTTGCTATTGTTAATGGTTTCATCATATATCACTCCCTTGATCCACAGTTGGTGAGGAAGTAAAAAAAAACCAAGAAGGGTTGGGAAAAAAAAAAAAAGAAAAATAAAGAAAGAGATAGTAGTCCTAGGGTCTGATTTTATGCCTTCCAAATCACGTATGATATACTCACACACGTATGTGAACTCACTCCTAATCTCTGCAGAACTCAGTAGGAGCTGCCTTGCCTACCCCAAGCATCTGAGAACCTGTTTCTAATAAAACTATTTATTTTATTTTACTTTATTTAGCTCAACTTTTGCTCAATTGTAGCCTGACACTTTCTGGAGTGATTGTCTTTTTGTGCTCCTGTGTAACTGAAATTCTAAACCAACATCTTTCAACCATTTACAAGTACACAGGCTCAATAGTAAGCAAGACTACATACAGTCGTTAAAAGAGTATCAGTAACATTTTAGCATTTTTAAGTGTAGCTATAGGAGGCCCTAGATAAAGCATTTCCGAATAAGAAAATATCCTCTCCTGGATTCAGCTCCTAGTAGGAGAGTTTAACTTGTTTTTTTTTAATATCAGTATCTAACTGCAGAAAAGCATACTCAAAAGACTCAGCTCCCCAGTTTATTCATTTTGAGGGCAAAACCAATTTAAAGTCTACTTAAAAGCAAAACCAAACAAAACACACTCTTACCACTTTCCTCTCACACCTCCCTGGCATTTTCTGAGAAAAAGTCACCTTAATGAGAACAACAGTTTTCACAATGACCTGGCTATGGTTTTGGTGGGCTCCTAGTAGCTACCCAGGACTTGCCTGTTTGACATAAAGATTGCTGTAGGACCGATGAAAAAGGAATAGATGCTCTCTCAACTAGGTTCAGAATACTTTAAATTTCTGTTCTTATAGATATATGCATGCACACTAGTACACAAACACACATACACATACCCCACGGTAAATAACTCAGCTACTACTCCTTCCATCCATGGTATTTCTAGATATTACTGTTTAACTTTTACTTAATTATTTAACAAAAGACCCTTTGCCACAGCCAGCACCCTTTAAGGCACTCTGTGAAAAGAGGTTTAAGATTCAACTAGCAAAAAACTTCAAACCATACCTTTGTAAAAAGCAAAATGTAGACCACCATCATTTTGGTTCACATTAAAATTGGGTAAATATAATATGCATTTCTCTAACGTTTAGAAGACCATTTCTGGAAAAAATCAAAATCCCTGGTGTAGTCTTGTTCTTGGGAGCATTCACATAACCACAGTTTGCAGAAACCAAAAGTTTGGAGAAAATTATTTTGAGTTAAATACATGAGTACTCATGAAAATGCAATTTTGAAGTTCAAGTATTAATTTTTCAAATGTATCTGCATTTAGGAACTATGCTACCTGAAACAATGCTACCTGTTTTTTTCTGACCAATCCCAATTAACCAACACAGCTCAGTAGCAAATATTATACATCAAGCCACAAAGTTTTAAAAAAAAAAAAAAACAAAACAACAAAAAACCACACCAAAAAAATCAAATACTCTGACAGAAACAACGCATTTGAGAAAACTATGATTTACTGAAAAAAGTCCAAGAGTGGTGAGAGACTAGATTTGCTACATACTGTATTAACTGAAAATCAGTTTTTGACACTTATTAGGTATTTTTAGCAAACTACATTATTTACACAGATTAAATAAACCCCATTTTCATGGTGATTTTATGAACTAATGTATTTCTCTCAGGAATTTGGAGAAAATTAACAAGACCCAATATCCAGAGTAGGGAGATAAGGTGAAGCCCCTGTTAATAATTGAACTATGAACATGGAGCGCATTGTTACCTTGGCACGCAAAGCCTCTTTCTTCATAGCCAGCATTACACAAGCACTTCCCTATGGGCACTAGCCATTCTCCTTCTGTACTGCAATACATCTTGGGTGGCTCTTCCTCCTTGGAATGATTGACACAAGAACCCCGCACCTCCACCAGTGACTGGGAGTCCATGGGTACCGTATCTGGAAACATGGCGAGGTTCTTGACAGTGAAAGGGCACTTTTTGAAGTACACTCGCACCGAGACTAAGGCAACACACGCACCTACATCTTGAAAAGCCAAGTAAAAGCCTTTCCTGTCTGACAGGCCCCACCTCACGGACTTCTGTATTCAGCTTGAGAATTCGGTCCCCAAGATCCATTTGGGTGAAGCTCTCATCAGCCGCAATGGTGTCAATCTTTGTAAACTGATGCTCTCTGAACTTTACCAAATGGTCATCATCGGACTCCATATAATACAGATTGAAGGTCTCTTTGCAAGTGCCCAGAACTAGAGGGATACTATTGCAGTCCCTCAAGGTAAACTTGAGCTCCACATATATCTTCTGAGCTGAATTGCGTGGAATCCAGTTGGTTCGCAGCCAATTGTTTTGACTATGATCCATAACATTGCACACTTGGTAAGTTCTGATCGGAGTATAATGCTCATCAACACCACTAATCTCTTCCCACTGGAAAAAAAAAAAAAAAAAGAAAAAAAAAAGAAAAAAAGGAAATATTTTAAGATTAATTAATTATTATACCAATAAAAAAAAAAAAATCACATTTAGAGACAAAAGCTGTAAAAAAGCAAAAATCACTTTGCTTGGACATCACTATAAAATAGACAACAAAGTCTGGTTGAACTTGCACTTACTTTTTTCCTGTTAAAACATATAAATATCTTAAACGAACATAGGATTCACCATTAAGAAGCCAGTTTTTACCAAGTTATTTCAAGGTGGCATGAAAGAGATGCTACAGCTGTTTTGCATTATCAGAAACCTGTGATCTCTTAAACTATACGCACTGCTGTCCTTTCGATCATGACCCCAACGTGTCTTTACTACAACCACACTCACCTCAAACAGAAGAGGTTCACTAGGACAACACCACGTTTTCACTGTTAGAACCAAGTTGTATTTCAAAGTTTAAACAAGACTTAAAATCTTACCAAACAAAAGCCAATGGCTCCCACTGAAATTCCATATAGTCACAAGAAAATGTTACAGTTTTAAATTTGTTCAAAGCATGACAATTGATTTTGCTTGGGATATGTGTCCTCTGGACAAACAGTCAAGCTTAGCCCAGTTTCCAGAGTTATTAAAAATTACCGCCAACTTACTGTATCTTGGTTACTTAATTCTTCTGTGGACTATAGAGACTATAACGCTAAAACGGTTTTTGAAGACTACATAGTCATAATTTGTTTTTACATCAGTCATCAGCTGACAAACTTACTTGACCCAGACAGGGAAGGAATGAGTTTCCTATTTGTGAATTACTCATGTACCAGTCCTACCTGATTTCTGAAGTCAGGCTTACTGGAGAGGAATATTTACCAATCACAGGAAAAAAGAAATCCTACAGGGGTAGTTAAAGTAAATATTTACTGTTAGTCATTTACCATACACAACTAAGTGACGTAAGATGTGTCTTTATTCTCTTTCTCCCTGAATGGATGACTAGGACCATTTTTTTTGGTTTGTTTTTTAAGATCATCATTCATCAGCTTTTATCCACACAAAAACTGCAGTTGTTCTATATTCCAAGTCTTAAAATGCAAAACGAAGAGCCTTACAACTAAACCACAGGAATGAAAACTCTTACTACAATCAACAATACCTGTTGCAGAATCACAACACTGCTGAAGTTGAAAGAAACCCTTCCAGATTTTCTAGTCCAACCCCCTGCTCATGCAGGGTCAGCCAGAGCAGGTTGCTCAGGACCCTGTCCAGTCAGGCTTTTAAATATCTCCAAGGATGGAGACTCCACAGCCTCTCCGAGAAGCCTGTGCCAGCGTTTGATTGTACTCAGAGTAAAAAGGTTGGTCTTTATGTTAAATGGAATTTCCTGTATTTCCGTTTGTATCCATTGCCTCTTGGCCTTTCACTGGGCACCAGAGAGAAGAGTCTGGCTCCATATTGTCTATATGCTGCCATCAGACATTTATACACACCGGTAAGATCTCCCTCAGCCTTATCATCTTCTGTTCTACGCTTCAAACTTAATTACACAAACGGAAGAGGTAAACTCCTATCGTGATAATGAAGCGCGTACTAACAGAGCATACGGTGGCACAGAAGCTACAGAAATCCTCGCTTTGCTGTCACCCACATACACAGCCTCTGCAAAACACACAAATGCTGCCCCATTCAACCAGATGCAGTGCAGCTGGGGAGCAGTAGAGCTTAAAACAGAGCTGCTGCATGGTATAAAAACTGGAGATGCGAAGTAGACAGAATTAAGTACGTTGTGAGAAATCACTACCACTCTTGGGGGAAGAAGACAAAGAACTTCTACCAGGAAAACACCTTCCCTCAAAAATCAAGTCACATCAATGCTACATTTAAGATCTCAGACTAACAATTATTCATTTTACATAAGCACCTTTTGCTGAGGGATCTTAGTGTACTGCAGAGCAAACATTAGGAGAGGAAAGTACTATTCCCACTATACCGACAAAGAAGCTGAGGTGCAGCAGAGTTAACTGTCTTTACAGTCTCCTGGTTTTACAAGACATGCATCACACGCACACAAAGAAAGAAAGGAAAAAAAAAAAAGTGGCCACATCAGAGTAACGTCTGAGAGTTCTCAGTCCCAACCCACTGACTTAAGTAAGGTTTGCTATGACTAGGAGCTGGTCTGCACAATGAAATTGTCCACACACCACTGAAGAGGTGATTTTAAATCATGTTATTAAACCTGTAGATAAACCCAGCATAAATACTCTTCCTTTAATTGAAACAAAGTTTATTTTAGTTCACTTTACAGATCTGACTATACGCAAGTTTTATCTCTTCCTGACTAGTTCAACAGAGTTAAAAACACAGTCTTGGATGTGTATACAGCAGTTGAAATGCCGTAGCAAGCCATAATATGCTACACTGCCAAAGAGAGCTAGCTGTACAGAGACTTTCTGAGTCAGAGTTACCACACTAGAGCTCACAGCCACTTGAGAGCCAGGCGCCACGTGGCAGCCCATCATACAAGGACAAGCTCTTGCCTGCATAAGAAGCAGCTGGACCCTGGCTCCCAGCCTCTGCCAAGTTCCCAAAACTGAGTGGAGGGCCCTCCACTGACAGATGTCCTTGTACAAGTACAGCCCCGAGCCAATAATATAATCCTGTTGCAAAAAGCCATTCAGATGCTATAATTGCCTCCCATGAAGCTGGATGTACCTATTTAACTACAGGTCTTACCTGGACAAATAAAAATTCAGTTACGACAACTGGATGAAACTAGATAAGATTATATAATGAAACATAATTTTTATGGACATTTAAAGCAGCTCACACCAATTCATAAGTGATCTACTTAATATCTCTTCTATAAAATTTCTAATCAGTTCAACATATTTTACACGTCCAGTGGGAGACAGAAACAAAACTAGGAACTTGCAGAATTTAAAACATCTCCACAGCAGATGTTATTTTTCTGGACAAGTCCCATTGCAATTTTTTTTTCAGAAGTTTCTTATCCAACATGCTTACACAGACAGTTGAATGTAGATGTATGGATTGTGCAACAAAGGTAGCACCCACTACTATGTTCTTAACCTGGAAGCTGCAATGTGCAATTATTACTTCATTAATTTGCAACAAAGACCCAATTGCTTGGAAACAATTGTAGATTGCCATGTCAGTCCACATACATAAACAAAAAAATTTCAAATCGACCATTTAATGCTGAAGCATTGCTGACTGGAAGCACCAATCTCACACTGGGTGCTAACTTGACCACAATACTGTTACAAAACCGTGGAGATTGCAGCTATCGCTTTAGAAAGAGTTAAGGTGAAATAAGTCACTGAAACTATAGGAAAAGCATCCAAATCAGATGATGTACTAGATTCAAGTAGGTTTGTGACTTCAATAATTATTATGATCAAACTAAAAAACAAGCAGTACATTTGCGTTGCTCATACATTACAACTTTTCCCAGTAAGCTATCGTATTGCCATACCCAAGTGATCTTTATTCTAAACAGATTATCAAGAACAGCAAGAAAATTTCCCTGCCATGACCCATAAATTTTTTCTATTGAGTGAAGTTTCTCAAACACCTATATTTGTAGTTGTTTTAATTTTTATTTCTGTACTTTTCTGTACTGTACTACTCTGAACACTTTCTGTGTTCAACTTGGCTCTGTAAAGTTACAATGGTTACATAATTACTTTCTTTAAAAAATAAAAAAAAAAGAGAGAGAGATTCTTATTCCAAGGATGGAATCAAGGAAAGAAAAACATAAAACAAAATGCATGTTGCTTAATAAAATATTGAATGTTTTCTTATTTAATCGTTATTGTCAATTGCTCCTGGGTTGAATTCGGGGGCTCAAATGAAGGTGAGCAGTCTTTCACTCTAAATCCTTATATATGACATTCATGGGGCATCGTACAATATAGGTCTTCTGAGGCATCATTTATAAAGGACTTCTCAGCCCACACCTCTTCTGAACACACATAAATCAAAAAGTTCCGTATTGTTTTAGTGCTGCAAAATGCTAAACTCATGCCCACTTCAGATCAAGGGGAGTCTACACATGCCCTCTTTAGTGCAAAGTTGTGCTGTTTTAGCATCTCTTATTCTATTCCCAGTATTGCTCTTGTAGAGCCACCTCCCCCTGATGCTGCACTTGAGCTCTGCTGCTTTTAGAAGAAAATGTCAGGTAGTACCCAAACCAGACTATGCCTCTCTGAGCATTTCTTTTCAGCACTGAAAACTGAGTCCAGTCTGCTGCAGTCTCAGGTTCCCCTCCTCTCACCTTCAGCTTCGCAGAACTATTCCCATCCCATGGAAAACTAGTGTGGCATGGGGGGCTAATTTCTATTGAATCAACTCTCCTAAATAGTACATCATGCAAGCATGAAAGAACTAGTATTTCTGCAGGAACAAGAATGTAATGCAAGGGGCAAGAAAGCATCCAGCAAGAAAGTATGGCCACCCAAACTTAGTTACCACGGAAACCACCTGGAGTTAAAAAAAAAAAAAAAAAAAAAAAATCTATTTCTGAGGGTACTGCATTTTCCCCTACAAAATTTCATCTTGTTGAGACTTTGCTAAGAGAAAATAAGAACAGTTTACATTTTCATCCTCCAGACAGATAGAAAAGACAAATCAGAAGGTATCAGAGGAATAAGCAGAAAGATGAAGGAGAAGCTGTCACAAGGACACAGACAGACTCCACAGCAGCGACAGCAGAGAAATACTGCAGAGAATTTGGGCACAGGCACTTTCCCAGGAGTTAGGAAAGACCTGGAGAAGGTTACCTGAGCCAGGAAGGAAGGAACTGGCACTATGTAACATTGAGGAGGAAGGGCATTGGTGGGAGTTAGGCTGAGAACTTAAAGCAAATTTGTTGAGATGCTGGGAGAACGACTGTATGAAAGATCTGTACTTATACCGTGTAAACCAACACTGGTGGCACCCAAACCTAATTCTCACCTCAATTATACGCAATTACTTGGGTA